TGAAATAATGCTATTTGCAGCAACATGAATGGACCTAGGTATTATCATACTAAGTGAAGTAAGTCAGACAGAGAAAGACAAATATATGATATCACTTATATGTGGAATCTAAAAAAAAAAATGATATAAGTGAACTTATTTACAAAACATAAACAGACTCATAAACCTAGAAAACAAACTTATGGTTACCAAAGGGGAAAGGTGGGGGGGAGGGAAAAATTAGGAATTTGGGAGTAATATATACACACTGCTATATATAAAATAGATAAACAACAAGGACCTACTATATGGCACAGGGAACTATACCCAATATTTTGTAATAATCTATATGGGAAAAGAATTTGAAAAAGAATATATACATACATACATATATATATATATATATATATGTATATAACTGAATCACTTTGTTGTACACGTGAAACCAGCACAACATTGTAAATCAACTCTACTTCAATAAAAAATAAAAATAATAAAAACAACAAAACCACAATGAGGTATCACCTCATACCTGTTAGGATGTCTATTATCAGGAAAAAAAAAAGATAACAAGTGTTAGCCAGGATGTAGAGAAATGAGAACCCTTGTACCCTACTGGTGGAGATGTAAATTGGTACAGCCACTATGAAAAACAGTAAGAGGTTTCTCAAAAAGTCAAAAATAGAACTGTCATATGATCCAGCAATCCCACTTCTGGGTATCTATCCAAAGAAATTGAAATCAAGATCCTGAAGAGATATCTGCACTCCCATGTTCACTGCAGCATTATTCACAATAAACAAGACATGGAAACAGCTCAAGTGTCCATCCACGGATGAATGGATAAAGAAAATGCAGTATTTACATACAATGGAATATTATTCAGCCTTAAATAAAAAGAAGGAAATTCTGCCATTTACAAAAACATGGATGAACCTGGAGGGCATTATGCTAAGTGATATAAGCCAGACAACAAGAACAAATAATACATGATGTCACTCACATGAGGAATCTAAAATAATCAAATCATAGAAGCAGAGAGTAGACTGGTGGTTGCCAAGGGCTAGGAGGAGGAAATGGGGAGGTATTAGTCAAAAGATACGAAGTTTCAGTTATACATATGAATAGGTCCTATAGACCTTCTGTATGCCATAGTGCCTATAGTTACCCATACTGTATTGTATAGTCAAAAAATTTTGCTAAGAGGGTATATCTTATGTTAAGTGTTCTTATCACAAAACAATCATTATCATCTTCATCATTCAAGTGAGGAGGAATCTTTTAGAGGTAATAATGGATACGTTTATGGCATAGGTTATAGTTTCACAGGTGTATACTTATGTCTAAACTTGTCAAGTTGTATATATTAAACATGCACAGATCTTTTTATGTCATCCATACCTCAATAAAGTGATTTAAAAAAATTAAAATATCTTAAGGAATAAATAAATAAATTAGAAAAATACGCAATAATTTAATATTTTATAGAAAATATTTATTATAATATAAATGAAATATGTTAAAAATGATATATTTTCTCATTAATGTGACTGGAGATAATAATTTAATTCAGAATCAGGATCATAAAGGCAATTTAAATGGTTTTTCTAGAAACCTTCCTGCTAATTTTCTAAAAAGAATATATAACACTTAAATCCCTAAATGTATTGAAGTACCTCCAATACCTACAGATGGTATTCTTTCAAAAGAACATAAGGCAGGTTAGTATTAAGTGTAGATGCTGGTCTCCCCAACAAGATTTTATATTTATAAAGGAAAGGAGGTATGTCTCATGTCTTATAATTATTTTATCCACTACTGTGACTATCACAGTACTATATATTCATGTAGTATACTGGCTCTAAATATTTACTAGACTAGATTGGAGGCATAGTCACAAAAGCTCACTGGCTATCAAAAGGTTTGAAAAGATTGGAATGCCTAGGTGCATTATATAAAGTTTAAGTGCTAAAGATACAGGAGGTTCAAGAAAAGGGGGAAAAAATATTCCTAAGCGAACAAAGGAAGAGTGAAGGATCTGATGGGTCTTAATTAAGCTTTGGAACTTAGATAAACAAAGATGAGAGAGAAGATTCTTGATAAAGGGGGACTATGTGTGGAAGAATAAAGATGATCAAAGGACGCTCAGAAATCAAACAAAAGATGTATATCTGAAAAAAACCAAGAGAAGGTTCGTGTTGGATTAGAGAAGACTGCAAGTAAGTTAGGGCCATATTATTGAAGGATGATGAATTTTGACAGTCTGATCCATTGGCTGAACACTGTAGGTGTTGAATACTGGTAGCTGCTGAAATTGTGAACAAAGATATGTAGTCCTTGAGCCCATGGAGCTTTAGTTTAGCAGGACAGATAAGCATTAATCAAATCATACAACTAAGTACTTAAATTGCAAACTGTGGTTAGTCCCAGGAAGCAAAAGCACAGAGTGCTGTGAAATATGTAACAGGGGAACTGGCTTTGGGGGTGTTGGGAGCGGGTGGGAAGAGGGAAAGTTTTCCCTGAGGAAGTGACATTTAGCTGAGCCAAGAGTATCCAGACAGAGGGAGGAGGGCATTGCATGTGAAGAAAAAGGCCATATTCAAGAATCAAGGAGAACAGATCAGGAGGAAAAAGTGACCTCAGGTAAGGCTGAGGAGGTGGGTGGGGTCAGCTTTTCCCAGCCTTGAAGGCCAAGCTAGAGACCGCTTTTTCCTAAGAGCCGTGGAAGGTTTTAAATAGAAAGCAACATGACTGGGTTTATGTTTTTCTCACTGTTCTGTCGGCATCGTGAGATGGATGAGAGACAGGTGAAAGAGGAGGAGGGATCATTAGAAAGCTCTTTGAGTTTTCCAGGTGAGTTACAATGATAGCTTGGCCTAGGA